GCGTGACAAATTGGACCCTTGGCGATTTGGGTGGGGGGGGGGGGGAGTCATGATGTAGTTTTCTATGTTTTTCTATGCCAAAATGCATCATGACTTTTCTGACAACCCAAGACCAAACCATGAACTAATATTTATTTAGCACCTGCTATGTACCAGATACTATGTTAAGCACATTTATATTATTACACTTACCCAATAACCATGTGAGGTAGATATTATGGAAGAGGTCATTGATAATGAAAGATGAAAAAATTCTCATCTTTACCCATGGCCACTCAAGATAGCAGTACCTAACTTGGGACTAAAATCTGACTTTTAGCAGCCATGATCCTTTCCACCAAACCTCACTCCTTGTCGGAAAAGATCAGCATTTTCTTTATTAGTGTGGAGTTCAGCAGTGTTTTGACATGATTCCTTTAACATTATCCAGCGTAGCCATTTTAAAGAGAAATTATGCCATCTACTTTTACTTCTTTGGAAAAGGTATTACTCTTATTTGCTATGCTCATTACATCAAGTAAATAAATCCAGAGTTTACAGAATCACAGTCTTTCATTGGAATGTTAACACATTCCCCAGAGCCTATCCTCTCAAACATATTTCTAGGCCTGCTAGCTATAATCAAGATGCTTCTCTTAGAAAATTATCAGCACAAAGCACATATCCTGTAACCATTTGCCTCCACACTCATCTTCTAGTAAAGCAAATAAATAATAGTTAGACATGTTCACCAGTAAATCTTTCTGGTTTTGCTTTAGTCTCAGGCATAGAGAGAATAAAGACAAAGTGGCTCATTTGTATAAGTGGTGACCGTAGTCATCTACGAGGTGACTTGCATCCAATTATGTAGTAACAAATGAATACATTAGATTGTGTTTTAAACTTAGTGACTGGATTTTGTCTCCTTTAACAAATACATGGGCACATTACAATGTTGTCACTGGTTTAAGCCTTTCAATTGGTGTTTTAAAAAACACTTGTTTGATATGTTAAGAATTGCTGGTAAAGACAAGAAACAAGCCACTGTGCTCACGTAGTGGACTAATTTCCCAGTGGACAATATTTGTGACCCATGTAGTGGTCACAAACGCTTTCAATAAATGGTGGTTTTCTTTTTAACGTTATTACCTGACAAATCCTGCTGGCAAGTTCACAATTGGATGTTGGTGCGTTGTACCCCACCCCACCCCTAACCAATACCCTGCCCCTGCCTGTGTTTCCCATCTGGCTGATGAAGGAGCTGCTGTATTTGGGGGCACAGGATCCAAGAAATTCCACTGTGGCCCCATATGACCAGAAGCATTTTAAATTCAGCTTGGTTATGTTTGAGGAAAACATCACCTTGCTATGTTAAAATACATACCTATTTGGAAGCAATAGCAACCTTTCACCTTTTAGTCTGACTTGGCAATGACTGAATATATTCAGGCCATGCTTCAAAAATTGCATTAACGGGACCAGCAGTTGGCATAATGGTATGTCGTTGGACTCCTGTGTAGACCGTAGTTCGAATCCTGGACCTGGTGGCTTAAACTCATGCCAGGTGCGTGTGCATGCATGCCCAAGATCCCAAGAGGAGAATGGAGAAGGGATTGCGGGGTGGCCATCCCCCCCTGGGGGTGATTTCTCGCTTTCTGTCTCTCTGTCTCTCTCTCTCTGGTGAGCGCATGTGCCCTGTAGCAAAAACCTCTCCAAAAAAAAAGTTGCATTAGCTGCTGCATACAGAATGAAAATTGAAAGCACATTACTTTGGAAATAATACTATCAGTAGCATATTGGGTTTTGTTATAAACTTAACTGTGTAATTGTTTTTAATTTTAGTTTTTTGTACTAAAGTATATTTTGCTCTTTCTTTTCTCTAATAGTCACCTTATTTACTTCTGAAACACCAAACTTCATATTTATATGGTCTAGTAATTACAAAAATAGTAATAATATAGTAAAGAAAAGACTGTAATTGAAAATAGGGAGACAGCATAACTTAATGAAGTCAGTAGGTACAGATAATTTATAATAGAATTAAAAGTTGCTGCCCCACATGAAAATAACTTGCCCTTGATTTAAATACAGCTACTAATCTTTTCTGCAGTATACAAATGCAGTGTAAACAATGTGACTGAACTAATAGCATGAGCTTAAATACCTTGGATGTCCTAAAAAACTTAAAGTAACTATAAAGAAATAGATAGCTTCATCTGAAATCAAGGCAGAAGGGTCATGCAAGCAGTTTACTCAGTGATTCTAAAAGCAGAAAATTGCTGGTGTTAGAGTAGTCTTATCATCATGAATCAGGTTTCATTCTGAATGTTCAGATAATCAAATTATACCTGAAATACAAACTTACTTATGTAGTTAAAATCAAGGAATACTCACAGTTCAGACTCTGGTGAAATAAAAAGAACCAAACCCCCAACTTCCCCAGACGCTGGAACTGTCTTCGCGTGTCAGCTGGGCTCTTCCATCCGGTCGTGGTGCAATTGGTTGGGGTTCTCTTCTTTTTTATATTCACATGTGGTGGGGGGTTCCCTCCCCTTTTCTTTCTTTTTTATAGCATGATAACCCTCAGACTCCTTTTGAAAATATTAAAAGGCCCCACCACCATGCCATAACTTTTAAGCTCAATCAGCATTTAACTTCAAGAAATTATTTAAAGCTTCTTTATGAATACCTTCCACTTGAGAATCATGGGAAGTTTCTCTCACCTCCCAAACTAAAAGTTTATAAATTCTGAGCAGAAATATGTATTTTCTATTTTTCCTAAGAAATAATGCATAACGTGCTATGTGGACTTTTCAAATACAAACTTTGATTCTGTTTCTTTCTGGATTACTTCTAGAAATTAAGTTATTAAAATATAATGGCATTTCTATATTGAATTATTATAATATTAGTAATAAATTATTTCACTCTTGAATTGTTTAAACTTTCATTTGATTCATACACTATTTTGGTATCTTTTCGTGTGTTCCTTTAAGACCTTAGATTTATTTTCTAAAACAATCTTATAATTTTAGGACTACATGAGATTTGTGATGATCTTTTTCTATCACTGATAAACCCTTCCAAATAAATTAAAACATCCCCCAAATTTTTAAGAAAATAACAATGGGATTCTGCAGTTTTTGCTTGGTCCTAGTCCAGTATTTAACCACTATCTGTCTATCTATGTAACTGCTGACCCTGCAGTTCAGTGTCATTTCCCCTTTTCTGTTATTATTTAAAGTGAAGAAAAGTTAGTTTTTATTCTCCAGCTTGTTTATAGTAAATAATAGTTAATTCACTCACCTTTAGCATTCTAATTATTTCTGGATACATTCTTCTGAACATCATATTCTCCAAAGCTTTCAGTTTGTTATAAAAATGATACTTAAGACTAAGTATTTTTAAATTGCTAGGATACAAATATTTTGTAGCTCTTACTTCCCTCATAAAACCTCTGAAAAGGAAGGAAGGTGTTTACTATATTAGCTGGCAGGACTTATTTTTATTGTAGAAAAAAAACACATAACATTGGGACCAGCAGGTGGCACAGTGGTTAAAGTGCTGGACTCCCACCTGGCTGACCATGGCATCCGGACTTAGCAGCTTACTTTCTCACTTTCCCTCTCTCTCTCTCTCTCTGTCTCTGTAGTCAAATTAAAAATAATAATAATAAACAAATAAACAGTTCTTTAAAAATAATAACATGAAATTTACCATCTTAGCCATTTTTTGAGCGTCCAGTTCAATAGTATTGTGTTCACATTGTCATGCTATACACACCTTTTTGTTTGTTTTTATTGTTTTGCCCTTTGTTGTGCAGTAGATCTCCAGAGCATTTTCATCTTTCAAAACAGAAACTCTATACCCACTGAACATTATAGTATCCCTCCCTCCCCCCTCATTCCTTGGCCACCGTGATTCTACTGGTTCCTTCTATGATTTTTGACTATTTTAGATACTCAATATGAATGGAATCACACAGTGCTTGTCCTTCTGTGACAGGGTTATGTCACCTTGCATAATATTCTCACAGTTCATCTGTGTGGTAGCATGTGACAGGATCTCCTTTTTTAGAACTGTATTATAAGTATATTGTGAGCATATACCACATTTTCTTTATGTGTTCATCTGTCGGTGGACATGTGGGTTAATTCCACCTCTTATTATCGTGGATAATGCTGCTATGAACATGGGTTGTGCTTTTTCTTTAAGATCTTGGCAGGATTTTTTTTTAATGACTAAGTAGGTTTTTAACTGTTAGTGTTCTATTTCGTAAAACCTAGCATAAATACATATTTTTTTTCTATATTGTCTTGTTGTTTTTCATTCCTAAGCCATTCTTCTTCGAAATACTAATTCTGTCATAGTCTTTAGTTTCCTCATACTGTGACCACATTTTCTCCTCCATGTGAGTCAGCAATGCTACCACCAGATTTGAGTATAGTCTTTTTCTCGTTCTCTCTTTATGTGAGTTTTTTCCTATTCACTCTGAACCTCTGCTTTGTCTCCGTGTTCTTAGCTTATTTGTATACATCCTTTTCCCTTCACTCTTCCTCTTCCTTTGTTGGTACTGTACACTTTTAGCTTAGAAAGTTAGAAGCAGAAAACAAGAAATGTTTATCCTTGCTTGGCACTATTACTGAAGTGACCATCCTGTCTTTATCTCAGTCCCAACCCTGCCAGCTAGAGTGAGGACTGCTGGGTACAAATACACAGTTGTGCTGATTGGTCTCACTTCAAAGAAATGGGGCTGCTTAGAGGAATCGCTGGTTCAGGTGGGCCTCTGTGCTGCCAGCAATCCTGGTATGTTTCCTTCATCTGATAGTTCTCAAAGCATAGCTCCCAAACCAGTGGCATCAACATCATTCAGAAGCTTGTTAGACATATATGTTCTTGATCTAACCCCAGACCCATGAGCCAGAAATTCTGGTGATGGGGCCCAGCAATCTGTGTGATCCTGATGCTAAAGGTTGAGAACCACTGCCTTAAACAGTTCATTCGCCTATATTTTTATACCAGAAGGCACATCCCTGTTTGCCTGTGACAGAGACAGCACACACATGCCCCAGCAGGGACTGGTCATAGCACAATCCTTTTTCCTCCAATTCTTTATCCCATCAGAATCCAGTGGATACACTAGAGTGTTTTTCAAGCTGCCAGGGCATGGCTCAAGCCCTGGTTAGCTACATGGGATCTGGCTTCCTCTGAGCAATGCTTAAGCATTTCCATACCTTTACTCTTCTCAGACAGCAAGCAACCCTCTCTCCTTTGCCACTTCCACCTAATAATCACTTTAATTTCACTGAGAAAACAGAAGCTCTCCAAAGAGAATTTCCTCATCTTCTTCCATTACATCTACATCTGCCTGCATCTGCAGGTGTCATTGTACCCTGCCTTCTCTGCTGTCACTACGGCCAACCCCCCCACCACCTCGTGTACTGTATTTCATCTCCTCTCTTCCCTCTACAGAACCATTCCCATCAATACACAAGTCCCTCTCTTTAGAAAACAACAAAAGCAGGGGCCTGCAGATGGTATAATGGTTACATCACTGGACTCTCACCTAGCCGACCATAGTTTGAGTCCCAGACCCATCAGCTTGAAGCTCACGCCAGGCATGTGTGCGTGCGTGCCCACCCAAAGTCCTGAGAGAAGTGATTTCAGTGTGGTCATCCCCTTGAGGGGGGTGATTTTTCACTTTCTGTCTCTCTGGCGAGTGCACAATGCTGCCCTATAGCAAAAATCTCTCTTTAAAAAAATTACAAAAATTTCTAGGTACTGCTATGGAGTCATCTATAGGATAGATAACATGATTTTCTGAAATTGTTGAATGTTTAAACACATACATATTTTCCTATTAAAAAAATAGAAGGATTGGGACCAGCAGGTGGCTTGGTGGTTGGGGCACTGGACTCCCACATGGCCAGCCACAGTTCAAGTCCTGAAACCAGAAGCTTGAAAATCACAGTGGGCACATGTGTGTGTATGCCCAAAATCCCGAGAGGAGAATGAAAGAGAAGGGACTGTGGCATGGCCATCCTCCCAGGAGTGATTTCTCACTTTCTCTCTCTTTTATCTCTATCTCTCTCTGGCAAGCACACCTACCTTCTGCACAAAAAATAATCATTTAAAAAATGGAAGGATGAGGCAAAAATATAATAAAAATAGTTACAAATATGGAGAGAAAGACTGAGGGTAGGGAA